CGCGTTACCTATACACCCTCAAAAATCACATTCTTCCTTTTCAATGTCTTCCATCCTATTTTCAATGATGCTTGCTGACAGTGGACCTCTGCAAAGAATACAGATATGATTTAAGGAAACACTACATGAAGTGAACTTCATTCATATTGCTTAGCATTGAACCCAAACCCAGCTCTAAAATCTGCACTTCTGCCACCTCCCCTCCAGAAGCTTGGGATACTGACATAAATAGATTTTGTTTTCAAGCTTAATAAAGTTCAGGCCTCAGGTTTGGAGAGGAATCTCATTCAAATTGTTGAGCCCAAAAGAATTCATGGAGAGGACTTGGATCAGAGTTTGGATTCAGGTCCACTGCTGATACGAAGTATTTCAGTCCTCTGATCTACTTGCTCTTAGCACAGCATGCAATATAATGTTTTATTCAGCACGAGGAGGTGTGACTTCCTGAAACTGCATGAACTAAACTGATTGCATTCAATTAAATACCAGGAAACATGCAGCCTTCTAGTCCAGACATTGCAGTATGACAAACAGTTCATGCAATATTATTTCAAACCAGTTCATAACTACATTCATGCATACAACACAGCAGTGAAATCACATTACACTACAACAGATCTAATAATAAGCATACAAACATATTATATGAACTGCATGCATTGCAAAAGAATTTTACCTGTTGGTTTTTGGGGTTTTTTTTGTGGTTTATATACAGCCTGAGGGCACAAAGAACCTGGACACAAGCTTAAGAATGGCCCCTTTCTGTGACGATGATGGTAGGTTTCAGATGAACTTAGGACCACTTGCCACCTGATGTTAGCTCAGTAGTCTTGCCTTCTAGTTTTCCTGTTTCTCCACTATTGAAAATGAAATGCTTCTGTTCGTCTTGGTGCCCAAGAAAGTCATCTCGACTTCACATGTGTTACAAGAATTATCACTGGATAATTAATGACACAACGTGTAGATTCGGCTGGCTTTTATTTATCATTAGGAAGAACTGCTGACCGTTTGGTTGCACATCCATTTATTTGCTTAAGAATTCACATGACATTACAATCATTATGGAAAAGAATACAATACAACTGATTAATGCTACTTTAGTTCTCCTATTTCTCCTGTAGTGAAAGAATCTTGAGACCTCAAATGTGTAGTGATAAAGGGAAAAATCTGTTATAAATCGTACATAGCTGTTCAGTTTTTCTCAGATCCAAAATTAGGACAACAACGCTTTTTGTCAGGCACCACCAAAGTTGTTAAGACCCAATGAAGAGTATGACAAGTGAAAGTGCTCCCTTACTGCTTTCACACTGAGATAAATGTACTGCTTCAAGTTTTAACATTTTAATTAAAAAAAAAAAAAAAAAACCAAACAAAAAAAAAAACCAACCAACCAAAAAAAAAAAAAACAACCCAAAAACCAAACAACCCCAAACAACCAAAACCAAACAACCAAAAAAATCCCAACCAAAAAGAAAACCCTAAACCAACAAGTTAAAGGCCAGGTACAACCATCCTAGGTGGCACAGACTGATTTTTCACATGACTGTGTCAAGGAAGAAAAGAGCACTGACCAAACTGTATACACTGGGGCTTCAATCCAGTTCCTGGAGTTGAAGTCACAGTTTTGTCAGACTAGTCCATGCATACACACTGATGTATATGTTTTCCTAAGTCTAACAGCTGTGATTTTCAAAGCCATTCGGAATATCTGGACAACCTTTTCCCACTAACTTCTTATTTAAAATGGGTGTCTAATTCACTAGATAACTGGAAATCTTAGCCTAATTTTTAAGTAATTTCTAAATGTTGACCCAGCAATGTAAGTGTTCTTTACAAGCACTAATTCATTTAGTGGTGGAGTTGTCTATTATGGGGATAATGGCTTCTCAAAATAATGTCCAAATTCTACAGCAGAGCTAGAGTCTATATATCTCACCCTTCCATGACTGAGCCACAGAAGTTTTTTGTTCTAGGAACTGGTGTTTCTCGTCTTACTTTGGTTAATTTTTTTTAATTCCTCAATGCTAGCAGAGACATAAAATGACATATGCAATAATCAGAAAACATAAAAAAGGCAACGTAGGATTCCTAATGGCTGACTTCCTATATTTGAGGTCTGTAACATGGAGGAAAAGCAAGGGTAAAAAAGCAGGAGGGACAGGTATGTGATGCAGTGCTAGGAAGGAAGTACTTCGTATGTGTCAAGCAGGATGCGTACTTATTAGGAAGAGATACATCCAGACTTCCACACTAAATCAAGTACCTTGGCTCTTCTTTTCTGTTCTTTAATCATACTTCATAAATACTGCATAATATAAGAAACCATACTGGTGCAAGACAGATCACTTTCCCTTATAACTTCTTTTGCAAGGTCTTGGAAAAAGTAACAGAATAAATAGGTGTGACACATGAAGAAGGATCAGTTTATAAAGTTCTGGGTCAGAAAAGGATCAGAGCTGCCTTGACGTCTGTTTCTCCAGTTACAGGAAAGAGCACAGAGAAGCGTACACAGCCTCGTACACAGAGAAGCTTCTATGGCAGGTATGGGTCTACGCTCCTCAGCTGGAGCAGTCACAGCTAACATTACTCAATCTACAGACCCAAGCCTCAGTCACCTAAAAACTCCTACTTTCATAAGAAGTTTTAGATCAGGAACTACATAATCAAAATTATAAGACTTTATTGTCTTAGGATCAACAGAAAATTGCAAATGTAAAATAACAACCACAACAGGTTGTTATTCAGGCTTCCTGCTTGAAAAAATACCCTATGCTCTAGATGTGGTCAGAGGAAGATGAGCCAAGAAAATGCCCACCATGCAGTCAAATACGCTATAACTTCAAGAGAAAAAGAGATAATTCCAAGTTTGTTTCACAGTGAAAGCCAAGAATAGTTTTTATATTGAAAGAACAAGGATACTTCATTTGTGCCCATCATATTGCTTTAGATTGGCAAACATGCTTAAGTATTAATGGCAGAGTTGTGCCTTTAAGCTACGTAATAAAAAAGTGCAACTCTATTCCAATGAAACCATGTAGTGAAAGGGACTGTGCAGAAAAATAAAGCCAAATTTAGTTCACCTTCAGGTGTACAATACAAAAAACAATAACTATCACTACTGTTTCATAAGCCAGTATCATTTAACTTCCAGTGGTAAACACAAATGTGCCGGCTCCATTGAAACTACAAGTCTGCTTAGACATCAAATCATTTTAAAAGGTTACTGCTGCAAATACCACAGAAATGTACATGATGAGTTTAAAAAAAGTACAGTAGCAAAATGCCTCGATTATCTACATTGCCTGAAATCCAGAATTCTGTAATTTTCCCTGTGCTTTTATGCCCGTCATCAATGCAGGATCTTGACAAATTAATGATTAACATTGTGCAAAGACTTATGAGGTCCAGGTCAAAGCTTCTGTATGCAAGCGTAACTCAAAGTCAGTGCATATAGACTGTACAGTTGGCATCCAAGCCTAAAAATGAGTCATTTTTCTCATTTGACAAAAGAAATACTTATCTGTGTATGGTATAACAAATGGTTTATGATAGACTATCAGCAACTGTAAGATGCCACAAAGAGGTGAAATTCAAGCAATATATCCAGTTGTAGCACTTTATATGTGTTCCTGTCATGGTTCAAGCCCAGCCGGTAACTCAGAACCACGCAGCCGCTCGCTCACTCCCCCCCACCTCTTCCTTCCTCCCCCCGCTCCCGGAGGGATGGGGAGGAGAATCGGAGGAATGTAACTCCCACGGGTTGAGATAACAGCTCTCCAGTACCTAAGGTATAATACAAACCACTACTGCTACCAATAATAATGGTAAGAGGAATAACAAGGGAAAAGGACACAACCGCTCACCACCCGCCGACTGATACCCAGCCCGACCTGAGCAGCGATCTGGGCCTTCCGGGTAACTCCCCCCAGTTTATATACTGGGCATGACGTGCAGTGGTATGGAATACCCCTTTGGCCAGTTTGGGTCAGGTGTCCTGCCTCTGCTTCCTCCTGGCTTCCCCTTCTCTCTGGCAAAGCATGAGACTGAGAAAGTCCTTGGTCAGAGTAAACATTACTGAGCAACAACTAAAAACACTGGAGTTATCAGCGTTGTTCCCAGGCTGAAAGTCAAAACCACAGCACTGCACCAGCTACTAAGAAGGAGAAAAAATGACTGCTGTAGCTGAACTCAGGACAGTTCCTTTGGAAAGGATTACTTCATTATTTTGATGCTAGAATTTGAAAACATGGGCTCCTGTTGCTAGAAGACATGAGTGCTATGGTCCTCCAAAATCAATGAGTTCAGCTTTTCAAGTGAAAACGCCTGCAAAACACTATTTCCTATAGTTCTCAGAAATTGGCCTCCTAGAAAAAAAGATGATTTATGGACACTTCTTAAGACAGTGCTATACTCATGTTCCACTCTTACAAAAATACCATGACAGGTTTAACAGAATTGAAATAAGAACCTAATACAAGCATACTGTTTCTTATATACAGTCTGGTAAGGACAACATTCTTTCATTTGTCTCTGGTATCATTGCAGTGATATATTTTCACCTAAATCTTTTGTATAGCCACTTTATAATCTGACATCGTTTTGTAAGAAAATAGTACAAAAACCTATAAACATGTGGCTGCAAACCAGCTCCCCAGACTAATTTTGACAAATGCACTGTAGATTTTAAGCCTATTTGAATTGTCACTGTCTTAAGTGTCATGAAATTGGTACCCAGATAAGTGCATTATTTGGCATAAAAAACAGGCAAAAATTTTCTAAAGCAGTTCCTGGCACATGAAAAGACCATGAATTAAATATTCTTTAAGCCCTGTTGGAGCTACATTAATAGCAGGGGAGAGATTTACCTGTAAAAGCAAAATTGAAAAGTGGACTTACAATATCCAAAAATTTACTGTGTGTTTTGCCGCCTTCCTGGCCTTTCCACTTTGGACACACAATTCAGAACTTAGTTCGAAAAACATACTTGTACAGAACCTTACCTTGCAATCTGAGTTCGAGTATTGAAGTCAAGAGATCTCATTGAGCGTAAGACTTCTATACATCCCAAGTACTGTAAGGAAAAAGAAACAGTTGGAAAATGTATTATAATTATTCTTGAGTTCTGGGAGAAAATGCAGCTAATCATTCAAAGGCATTGTACAGTTCTTGTTTTTACATTTAATTTATCCTATGTGTTGGGTAGGTTTTTATGATTATGCTTTTGTATGTCACAGATTTGTTCCATAAACATTTTATTTCATTTAAATCTCAAGTTTGATCCAACATCTTTTTAGGTTTAATCTAATCACTGTAACACACCTAGTCCATGATATGTGGTGCTTTTTAATTTTCTTCTTTCTTAATTGTTCCATTTTAGATATAAAGCTAATCAAAGTAAAAAATAATATAAAGGGAAAAGGAGGTATGGTAAAACAAATTCATCTAGCACTAGTTAGTAGGAAAATCTTATTTAAGAAGGAGAGAACTAAGCCTCATTATAACAAAAAAGGTAAACTATAGTGGGGAAAGCTGAAAAGAGCACTAGCAATACAAGGAGGATTCCTTAATAACAAGCTCAGGGATATATGGGATTTAATATCTTCATTAATGACAGAAGCATAAAAATATAAGAAAATGTTAACAAAATATAGTCCATGCTAGGAGATGGCTTCAACAGGGTCATGCATGAGAGGAATGGCATGAAGGTTAGCTAATATTAGGAAAAAACAGACTTATTGACTCAGATTTCTGCCTGCATCTCTATGAAAAAGAGGGAGTATCATTAGAAAATATGTTAAAATATATCAGTATCTATCACAGGACTGAGAAAAACTCAGGTAAATCTTCTAGACTTGCTTCCAAAAGTGAGCATAATATGCATGTCCTGAATTCTATATGCAGCTACAGCTCTTGTCAGATATTTGGATAGTGGTTTTATACAAACCACCTCATGACTGGAACATGCCATGGCAGTATCTTTGCATGGAGGTTAAGTTCAGCCACACACCTGACTTTTGAAAGTCAGGGGGAAGGCTGATGAGTCTTACATAATGAGCCTTATAATGCTATTCTAGTATTGTGGGTTTATATCAGCTTTCACATCCATTTTTATATCTATTCACAGCATAATGCAATCTATTTTGGTATGAAACTGATGCAAAAAATCAAGTGAGGCCACCATTTTGTGTCTGTTTGGGAATCTCATTTACTCTGAAAAAATAATCTTTTAATTAGAAAATTACTACATCAGTAACTATAGTATCTAGAATTTCACCAATGCATTTTCTATAGAAACATGCATGCCACAAACTGCTTACAAGCCAAGGGAGTATATTGTTTGCTTTCATATGTCTATTATTATTAAATTTATTGCTATAAATGCTATGAAGTCATTACAATGCTGAATAAAATAAACTAGAATATCAAGAGACTTATATTCATTAAATTGTTCAAACTTGGATTATAACAGCCCACAGTTTCTGGGGAGGGTTGTTTCAAGATCCATTTCCTAGAATTTTTTTTAGAAATCTTCTGTAATATTATGTTTTTTGAAAAGCTTGTAAAATCTTCAGAAGGTATCTATCTTGTCTATAGAGGCTCTGGCACATGGAGCATTCAAGCTAAGGATCATATTCTCAAACTGTTTAGATCCTCTATCAGTGTAAAATTAAGTAACCCTTGTATTTTATTAGGAATAGATTCCTTTTTTACATACACTTCTGCCTGACTTCTTAAAACATCCAGAACAACATTTTCATGCTCTGATGCAGGAAGTCAAGCCATTAACTCTATTTTTAAGTATCTCAAAGGGCGATTCGATTTGCTTAGAGATTAAGTTCATTAAACATCAATTGAGATAATCAGCTGAACTCAGTTAACTTGTGCCAATATACAGCAATGAAAGATGTTTTCCTATACTCTTTTTGTATGATTTTGTTTTCATTCTAGGATGATTTTATAGATAAATTTTACCAAATATTTATTTTGTATGAGGTACTTCTGTAATTAAATATGCTTTAACTGGTATAACTATTCAAAGGTATCCCTGAGATTTTTTTGGTATTGAAGTACTTGCTTTTCATTATTTCATCAGTCTGTTCATTTAGACCACTCAATACTAAAGTACTCTTGGACTGCACTTGTTCCTTCACTTATCTGTATTTGCCACAAGTCTTTTAAAGCAAAATAATTGTACAAGTTTGAGAACCAGGACCGGCATTTTAGAAGCAAACTCTGGAAGGTAGTTTAACAAGTACATGCAGGCGTGCAAATAAATACATATACACATGTGGACACAAGTCACTGTCAAAATAAGCACACAAAATAATTAGACAAATACCCATAAACACACTTAGAAGGCGTGCATTTAGACTCCTTTGAGTCTTACTACCTGATCTACATTAACAAAAGTAGAGACAAAACCAGACTGAAGGAAGGTCAGATGGAAAAAAATTACCCTGTACTTGTTTTATGTATAGCACAAAGACAGCAGAACACAACATAGTAAGGCTTGCAGTATTCCTGACTGATCAAGGCAAAGATGGCAACTGATTTTCTGGGATAAAAGATGTGAACACTTAATCACCACAGCATGTTTTCAAGTAACGAAATTACTGTAAAAACTGACATTCAAAAGGTCCAAAGGCCAACTACAGGGACATGTAACTCACCTACTGCTATGCTTCAATTATTCCCCAAGACCAACATTGCTCTCTAAAAATATCCATTTGAAGTACATCCTGACAAGGATCCACAGAAAGGAGACATACAACCAAGATAGCAAGTAAATAAATTATTCATTTATTTCAACAAATAAATATCCTGAATAAAAAAAGAAACGCTATCTTTTGCTTTAGGCATTTGATGAAACATTTAAAATATAGTTATAAAACAGTCTACTTCTAAAAAAGGTTCTCTTCACCCAGCACTTAATGTTTATTCTAACCAATCAGCTACTGTGCACTGTGATATTTATGAGCTCCCACCAGCATCCTCCCTCTCATTGCTAAGTTAAAAAATATACCGAGATGCAGTCCACCTTGAAGTAGGAAGATTTGGGACTACCAGTTCCAAGCTTTCTCAGTAACATTCTGCCTTCTATCTACCTTCTGATACTTGAATGAGTTTCCAGCTTGTATACCTTCATTGAATGGTACTTTGTCCCAAGGAAAAAAGTCTTTTATATGAATGAATACCTTCTCATTCAGAGGTTTTAGAATCATATCTAGTCCTCTGCATGCCAAACAGCACCTTGTAGGAAGATGATGTAAATCTAAAAGCAGAGTGCCACATACTCCTTGGACCATACCTCTTTCATTGCATGAGGTTCCAAAATCTTTATTAGTTACAATTTTTCCAAGTAAGAGAAGGCCATATATCCTGGGTTTCTGGTTTGTCCATAGGTGAAGATTTTTTTCCATATTTCCTAAAGTACTAAAGAAGGCAGACTTCTTTATGACTCAGTTAGAAAATTCTTGTTTAACAACTAAAATTTTTTGCAGTAACCATTGTAAGAAAGGATGTTGAGTTCTCCTAACATTTGTCAGAAACAGACAGTTCAATACAGGAGTGCTGAATGCATGCATTCATGTGCTTGGAGTGAAAAGACAAAAAAGGGTGGAGACTGTCAGAAATGCCTTTTGCTCCATGAAATTGAACAACCTTGGTCAGTGTTTCCTAACAAGATCTTGAAAACAATCTTCCTTTTTTTTACTCAGAAGCCAGCAGTAACAACAGCAATAAGTGTTTTTATAAAAAAGTAGCACAATGTTGCCACATACAGCACTGCAACAGTCCAACCTAGGGGTGACAAATCCTTGGCTGCTTAAAAGCTTGAAAGGCATATGAACATCTAATAGCAGACAAGCGTCTGCCCTGAGAAGGGGTAGCATGAAGATCTGCCCATTACCTACTCCCAGAAAAAATAAGGACTCCTAATCTCTGAATCTGAACTACTGGACTACCATTAGCTCACCAAAAAGGCATGAGTATTCTTAGTAAATTAAGACTGGTTTTAATCTGTGTAAACCAGATGACCATCATCAAATGTGAGTGCAGATTCTACCTGCAAATACAGATCTTCATGCAAGTTATGTAAGAGATAACATGGTTACATCAGCAAAAATACATGCACTTGCATTGTTAGCCAAAAATTAGACAGTGCCTGAAAATACCGATGTATCTGAAATCTGCACTAGCGCTGCATGGCCAGTGATAATCACATGGGGACTCAAAACATAGGTTCAGATTCCCAGGGTTCTGAGCAGTATATGTAGATCTAATTTTTGAAAATAGAAATCTCTGAAGCATATTAAAAAATACCCTATAATAAGCTGGTCAATACAGTGCAGGATTTTCACCTACAGGCTTCGGCTGTGCTTTTACTTGTCAAGTGCAAAAGTGAGCATCTTCTTACTTTCCACATCTGTTCCTCATGTGTATCTCCAGTTTTTTTGTTGGTTGTTTTTGTTTTTTTTGTTTTGTTTTTTTTTTTTGGGGGGGGGGAGTATATTTGTTTTGTTTTGTTTTGTGGAGTTTTTGTTTTGCTTTTTATTCTTGTTAGGCAAAGAGTTAGTCTGGAATTAAAGTATACCATGAAAGTAAATGAGTAGTTTGTATGAAGTGACTAGTGCTAGTTAATTCCAGTTGAGGACTTCCTTATTTAAAAATAAGATCTTTTATTTCAAATTCTGATTATATTGATTCTACTGCAAGATACATTTACTTATGCATCAAAATGACAGTTACTTTTAATGTCAGATATCACCACTTACAGCCAAAAGGGCTTGTGAAATGAGCACTGAGAGTTCCACAATGTTACACAATACTTACAACTTACTTTCAAGTTTCCCATCTACCCTGAATTACACCCTAACAAGAAGGGCATAATACAAAAATAGTAACTGCCCAGGACTTGATTTCAAGACAAGTTCATCCATGTGTAACTGTGGACCTAGTCATGGATTTTTAATATCCATATTGATGCATGAAAAGGAGAATTAAAAAAAAAAAAAAAAAAAACCAAACAAAAAAACCCACAACCCATGTAATAGCCAGAGACTGCAGGATTGG